TGAGAAGCTGAGAGAAAGCAGCCCTCCAGTGCTGCAGGGAACAGAATGTCTCCGAGAGGGCTGAACCAGGAAAAGAGGCTGAGATCCCGCCAAGCAGGTCCTTCCTTCCTAAGGGGATGCCAAGGTCTTTCCATGACGCAGCCTCAGCTCCTCCTTGTCCCCATGTTATCCCCATGCCCTGCACTAAGAATTAGATGTGACCCCTATTTGGAAAGCCAGCGAATCGAGGGCAAGCATGTGAAAAATGGTAATAAGTTTTTAAATTAGATAACCCTTTGGTTTTTAGAAGTCCAAGACATTATGCAAAACAAGCAAGTTCTAGAAAAAAAAAAACAGAAAAAACGGACACTGATTATTTAGAAAATGAGACTGTGACCAAAAATCAGAAACTATCTCTAGTGAATTTGTTTTGGTTTTTTTATGCTTCTACTCTACAGCTTTATTAAGGTATAATTGTCGTACCATAACATGCACATACTTAAATGGGAACGATGTGATGAGATTGGACATATGTATATAACTGTGAAGTGATTTCCATCATCAAAATAATAAATATATTCATCTCCCTTAGAAGTTTCCTTATGCTTTCTTGGTAATCCATCCCACTCTCACCTCCACCCTCCCATTCCCAGGCAACCACTGATATGCTTCATATCACTACAAACTCGTTTTCAGTTTCTGGAATTTTGCATAAATACAGCGTGTGCTCCATTTTGCCTGGCTTTTTTTACTCACTATAATTATTTTGAGATTCATCATTATTGTTGCAAGTATTAATAGTTCATCACTTTTTATTACTTAGTATTGCATTGTATGGATATGCAATTCATTTAAACATTCACCTGTCTACTGATATTTGAGTTGTTTTCAGTTTGGGGGTTACTACAAATAAAGCTGCTAAGAACACTCATGCACCCAGGTCTTTGTAGAAATGCTTTCATTTCTCTTGGTAAATACGTAAGTGTAGCTAGGTCATATGGTAGGCATATATGTAACATTTTAAGAGACTGACAAACTGTTTTTCAACGTGACTGGATCATTTTATGTCCCACACTGTAGTGTATGAGAGTTCCACTTGCTCCACTCCGTCTTTTCATTTTAGGCTTCCCATTGAGTTTTGGTTTTAAATTGAATTTCCTTGATAAACTAATGATTTCGAATATCTTTTAATGTGCGATTTGTCATGATGGTCCTATCCAAATCTTTGGACCATTTTGAAACTGAGTTATTTTTCTCATTACTATGGAGTTGTAAGAGTTCTTTTTATATATTCGTGTTACAACTCCTTTGTCTGATTGACATGTTGCAAATATTTTCTCCCTGTCTGTGGCTTGTGTTTTCATTTTCTAAGTGTCTTTTGAAAAGCAATAGTTTTTAACTTTGATAAAGTCCAATTTATTGATTTCTTATAGATCACTTTATATATGATCTATTGAGAAGATCATATGACTCTCCTTTTTATTGTGTTAATATAAAGAATTACACTAACTGATTTTTTAAATGTTAAGTCAATCTTGTAGTCCTGGTTATAAACCCAATTTGGTCATGATGTATTATCCATTTGCTATATTGTTGGATTTGATTTGCTAAGATTTAAGAATTTTATACCTATGTTCACAAGAGACATTGGTCTGTAGTTTTCTTTCTTCCTTTCTTTCTTTTTTTTTTTTTTGTAATGTTTTAATCAGGTTTTGGTACAAGGGTGATACTGGCCTCACAGAATAAGTTGAGATGTGTTTCCTTCTATTTTTTGAAAGTAGTTTGTGTAGAGTTGGCAACATTTCTCCTTTAAATGTATGACAGAATTCACCAGTAAAGCCATCTGGAACCTTGAGTTTTCATTGTGGAAAGTATATAACTACAAATTCAATTACCTTAGTAGAAAAAGTTATTCAATTATTTGAGTGAGTTTTGGTAGTTTGTATCTTTTGTGGAATTTGTTCATTTCATCTAAATTGTGGACTTCACTGGCATAAAATTGTTCACAATACAATTTTTTAATATTCATATGATCGATAGTGATGTTCTCTCTCTCATCTCTAATATGGGTAATTGTGTCTTCTCTCTTTTTCTTGATCATTCTGGCTTGAGGTTTATCAAGTTTATAAACTTTTTTCCAAAGAACCAGCTTTTTGTTTCATTGCTTTTTTTTTTCTATTGTTTGTTTTCTACTTCAATGACTTCTGCTATCTTTACAATTTTCTTCTTTCTGCTTACTTTGGGTTCACTTTGCTCTTCTTTTCAAGTTTCAGGTGGAAACTTATGTCTTTGAGATCTTTTCTAATTTAACTGTTTAACACTATGAATTTTCATTTAAGAACTTCTTTAGCTATATTTCCATCTCCTTAGGTTTTGTGTAGATTAAATACAATGTGTACAGTCAAGAAAGAAAATATGATTGTCTAATCCATGTCAAGCACTGTTTGGAATTAAGAATATGCTGCATAAAATAATTTGAACCCATTCTCTCATCAAGCTTAGAAGATAATAATGACAAAACTGGTAAAATCAATGTAAATGATTATCTTCTTGATACTTAGAAAGTACATTGAGACAGAAAGCATAACAACTTTTTGTTTTAATCTAATGATAAAGATATCTTCTGTTTTTGTCTCCTCACATGATCTAGCAAAAACTAAGTTGCTAGGTTTTTTTTAAAGTTCAGCAATTTGTAATTCCAATTGCAATACAAATTTATTGCAGAGTAAATCCTATTATTACATTTGTAACTGTCAAAATAAACTACGCATTTTAACTTAATATACTAATGATGAATAAGTATTTCAGTAATTCTAAACTTCAGAAGCACCTTTAGATTTATAAAGGATCATTTTAAAATGCAAGTATTTCATTGCCAAATAGTTTCTTGTGATTATTTTTCTTAAAAACTAAAAAAAGAAAGTAAACACTCTACCCATTCTAGTTTATCCTCAAGGTTGGTTCAAAATATCCAGAACTTAAAAAAAAGAAAATAAAACAAATCTCTGCCCTCCTAATTGAATATAAACGCATGACAAATCACTGGTTTCAAGGTCATTTAAAAGCTGACCTATCCTACCTACCACTCATGTTTTCCAAAATACCACCAGTGGGTTATATTAAATATCTAAGTATAATTACTTCAGGCGATTACAGATACAGAAATTTAATTTACTTGTAAATCTCTGTTTATCCAGCAGGGCAATAAGCAGGTTGGCACACCTGCACCTTGTCAGGTAACCTGAATCTTCCTGCACTTGTGCTGCTTCTAGTTCTCAACTCTTGGTCTTCATTTAGGCCACAGGTTCTCAGCCTTGACTGCACATTTGAATCACCTGAGAAGGCTAAAAATACTGATGTGATGCTGGGGTCCCACAGCCAGAGATCTAGAGTCTTTAGAAGTGGGGAGTTTTAAAAGCTCCCCAGGTGATTCAAATGTGCAGACTAGGAGTAAGAAGGAGCAGCCTAGCCTCTGATGGACATTGGCCAGTCTGCACCACCATCCTTCAGAACCTAGTTCCTCTAGACTAGACCTTTACCCAACCTAACTTCAATCAGCCACTCAATAATTCCATTTGGATTCCTAGGCTCACCTCTATTTCCTATCTAGAAATTCACGGGATTAAATGTCAATCTCTCACTGTATTTTGGCCGTTCCTCTCCAGTGTGCTTCTAAATTCCATTAAAGTTAAGTCTGGCTAAAGGGAAATTAACTCAATATAATTTGATGATATGGTTAAACAATCATTATGGGTTCTGTGTTTTTTTCACTTCTATTTAAAAGAAAGGGATAGGTCCACAAGCCATCTGTAATTTCCCAGAATCTATAGTAAAATTATTAATTCCTCAAAGTATGAAATAAATATCTAAATGAGTCTTCATTATTATCCATCTAATTCCACCTCTTGTTAATTTCAAACAGGGTTTCAATACCGGTTCACATTCTTGGTTCAAAACTGACATTCCCCAGAACTTCTACCATCCAACTCCTGAGGGTCTTCAAACAGCTCACTCCGTTTTGCCAAACCAGACCGCTTCATTATAATTATCATTTCATCATGTAAAAGTGGGAAGGATAACACCTGCCCCACAAAGACAGCGTGAGGATTAAGAAGCAAAAGCGTTTTAGCACTGTAGAGAGTGCTCTAGAAATTTTAATTTATTTACAGCAGAAGTGTTGCCTCACGGGAAATAGGTGAAAAGCAGAGGCAAGTGGGAAGTTGCGGATAACTACCTGTCAATACACAGAAACGCCATGAGGTGTGGCGGGGTTCCACAAACTACTGAGGAGCTCTCAGACCAATAGCAGCAGAAACGCATACTGCAAGGTCTCACACTTCTCAACCTGAGACTGAACTAGTGATGTTCCTTGCAAACTATCAATACATGTAAACCTCATCTCCTTGGAAAGCTGCTAAACAATAAAACTTTGCCAACATGCAGACCCAGGTACTCCAATCCCGCCAGTGGAGGTTATGTGTCTCTGGGATGTAATGGATTTGCATGCCGAAACACGTGTGCATGTCTGAGCCGTTGAACCAACACGTATCCATAAACACTATGAATAATACTTGCGAGAATGTATGGCTTTCTCCTAAGAAACGCTGGAAGTACTGTACTTTACCCAAACCAAGTCACTTTCACATCATACTTTCCTTGCCTTTCTTGCGTGTTAACCGCGTGCCAAGACATGGGGAGCCTTACCAAAAGTCTGGGTGGATGGGGGGGGGAGGCTGTGATCGCCCCCGCCCTGAATTCCCGTTAGCCCAACAAGCTGCCATCCCAAAAGGGGACCGTATCCAGGCTGGCTTCCTGGCGACACACCTCTGCCCTCACACACCCACCGCGGTCGCGTCACCAGTGGCGTGGCCACTCGGGCAAGGACCGAAGTCTAGAGGGAATTGCCAACGCCAAGGAGCTCCGGAAGACGACGGGAAAGCGAGACCATGGCGAGTTTTGACAAATGCAGGGGAGAGAGATGGGTCAAGTGGACACAACCAGGAGGAGTTACAGCTACTCACCCAACCCTCGAAGGTGTCCGAGGCGCCTGCGGTGCGCAGCAACTCGTGGAATTGCAGGGTGCAGTTGGCCACGAAGTGGTCGTAGCCCAGGGGAGTGTCGTGGAAGACGGCCAGCTCTAGGTGGCCGCCGTCGGTGACATTGGCGCAGAACTCCTCATTGTACGTGGGTTTGTTGGTCTTTTGCTTGGTGCTGGTCTGGCCCACGCGTACCTGGTCCACGCTCACGGTCAGGTAGGGATCCAGCAGTTGGTGGCCCTTCTTGAAAAGCGAGTGGCGCAGGGACCAACGGGTGGGCTGCAGCCCCACAGCCTCGCCGATGCGGACCCTCAAGTAGCCATTGAACTTCATGGTGCTAGACGACATACCGGCGCCGCTGCCCGGTCCCCGGCGGGACGCGCTGGCTCGCAGCGGGGGAGTCTGGAGCCCCTGCTCAGGCCATCCCTCGCGGCAGCTCCTGGGAAAAGCAGCGCCCGATGCCCCCTCGCCGGGCCATTCTGTCTTCTCCGCGGGACCTTCCCCTCCCCTCCTTCCCTCCCTCCCTCCTTCGCGAGGTGGAAAGGAGGGGAGCCCCGCGCTGAGCTCGCAGCGCGCCGGGGGAGCCCCACCGTCCGTCTCGAGCGCGCCGTGCTTCCCAGGGGCTTGCCCAGGACTCGCCCCTTCCCCAGAGCCGGGAGGCTCCTCTCCCCGGAGAGCCGGAGCGACCCGTCCGGTTAGCTCCAGCCTCAAGCGTCCTTTGCTCCCGCCTCCTCCTGCCCCCGCCTCCGCAGGCTCACGCTCTCCCCCACTCGGTGAGCTTCAAACCAGGAAGCAGCTGCCGCCGCATCCCAGGCTGGAGCCTCGCGCCGCCAGGCTCCAACTTCACCGAAACCCCGCACGGGCTTCCGCGCCTTTCGAACCCCGGGGGCGTGGCGCACAGGCCCGCCGCCGGCGCCGTAGGTCAGTGGCCGGTGCACGCTGCGGGGGATCCCGGGGCTGTCCGCTCGCTCTGCTCTGCGCGCGGGGCTGGCGGTCCGCTGCGGGCTAGACGCTATCCCAGGTGCAGGCCAAAAAGGAAAGCGCTCTCGGCCTAGCTCGAGCGAACACCTGAGGCATGGGAGACAGGCCCCGGGAGGGCTGGACGAGGAGGAGGAGGAGGAACAGGGGCGCCCAAGCTGCGAGGAGTCGCTGGCGCCCTCCCTCCCAACCTAAACGGTGGGCTGGCGACAGTGCCTGGCCATCTGAGAGAGGCCCCGGCCGGACGGAGGAGGTGCCTGTTCCTAATCTTTACGGGGATGGCTCATCCCGGGTTCAACTCGGGCCCATCCTGTTTGTGCGCCTTTCCTGCAGAGAGTAATTACACGGGTTTTTTTTTTTTTAAATAGAGCAGTAGTAATGATGGAAATCCTGTCCGCCTCCTTCCTCCGAGAGGTGTGTCCTGTTGCACAAAGAGCAGGAAAGGTCGGTTCTGAAGGCAGATATGGCAGAGATGTAGTCTATTCCTTTGCGGGGCGGTTTCTGGTCCACCCAGCCCTGCGTGGCAAAGGCAGAAGACGTACACACACAACACGCGCGCACACACACACACTGTCCCTGACGCATGTGCGCCCAAGAAATCGCATCTTCAAGGAACACCCGAGTTGTTGCTATATTTGCGAATCTGAGTGAGCAGCCCTCCTTCCCGCTCCTGGCCACAGCAATTTTTGTCCGCTAGGAGAACATTTCAGTCTACTCCGTTCTATCTATTGCAAAGCTTGCTCTCTGAGGGCCAGCCACAACCAATTTATCTCCCATAAAGCCTAGGCCATTCTTAAGTTGCTTAATTACATTCTGTCTGGCTATTCAGGCTCCCTTGGGAGCAGATAGGTCTTTCTAGCCCCAACCAACCGCAACCCCAGTGCCCTGTTCAGAGCACTCAAACTGAGTAGGTTATCAACAGTTTCACCCTTGTGAATGGAGGCACACTATAGAATGAAAACAAGTAAAAACAATGGGCTGGTGGGGGAGGGCCTGTCTTAAAACACCAAAACTTCCTTAAGAGAACAGGGCAGGGATGCAGCACATCACCATAATGACACCTTAGCTTTAGGCAGGGCTTGTAAAACAAGCTCCCAAACACCCAGGAAGCTCTTGTCTGGCTCTTCTGCTCCAAGGGAAGAGGTCAAAGAGACCATTTGGGTCAATTCTGTCAACCTCTCCTCCAAAGTGTGGGACTGTAGCTTTAAGAACCACTGAAGGATTTGCTGCTGTTGGGCTTTGGCACTAAAAGAAGACAGTCCCCAAATGATGGGTAGTTAGCTACACAGCTACACTGGGGTTGGATATGAGGGACAGAGACCATCTTTGCCCTGTCAGCACCAGGCACAGATGGGCAGTGGTGACAGAGAGTTGAGGAGGACAGCTGTGGTGCCTGTCCTCCTAGGGCTTACAGTCCCACAGAGAAGAGAAACAATAGGTCACACAGGTAGATGGGGCAGTGAAACAAAAGCCTAAGGTGCGATGGGACAATGGATGCTGGAGGGAGTGGTCAGGAAAGGGCATCTGAAGAGGCAGGCAGAAGGATCCTTATTCAAGGTTCCTGAGAAAAGGGACAGTTTGACCTGTTTGGGGAACAGGGAGGACTCCATGTGGTTGGAGACAAGAAAGGTAAGGGGAGAGTGGTTGAAACGAGCCTGAAAATGTGGGTCAGGGTCCAAGCCTGACCAGACTGGGAAGTCATGGGAGAAAGTCTTTGGACATTATCTATGGGCAACTGAAAGTCTCTGAAAGCTGTTAAACAGGTCCAGGACAGGATGAGATTTGTGTTTTAAAATCTCTCTCTAGGGCTGTGTGAAGAATGGATTGGAAGGAGCAAGCATGGATGTGAGGAGACCAGTTAGGAGGCTGTTGCCCAAGGCCAGAGGAAAGAAGACAGTGACTGGGACTTGGGTGGTGATGATGGAGATGAAGTAGATGGGTGTGAGGAGTGTTTAAAAGGTAGAATTGACAAGTTCTGAGATGGATTGAATGAAGGGAATGAGGAAGAGGAAAATATCAAGGATGACGCCAGACTCCCGCTTGAGCAACTGTGTGGATTGGGGAACCATTAGTAATTAGGAAGCACTAGAGGAGGGGCAGATTTTTGAAGGGTTCAGTTCCAAATGTGTCAAGTTTGATATATCTTTAATACATTTAAGTGGAAATCTGAAGTGGGCAATAGGTTATGTGGTTGTGAAGCTCAGAGGTGTAGTCTGAGCTAAAGACATAAATTAAGGGGCCATCAGTATATAAACATCAATGAAAACTAGAGCCGTAGACGAGATCTCTGTTACAGGAAAAGATGAGGAAAGAAGGGGGACTAGGAGAGAGCGCTCCAGAAATTAACATTTATAGATGGAGCAGAAGCCAGGGAGGTGAGAGAAAAACCTGGAGGATGTGGTATCCAGGTAATGTAGAAACCAATCAAAAAGTTTTCAAACAAGAAGGAGTTGGTCAGCTAGGTCAAATGATGCTGAGAGATTAAGTAAACAAGGAGTAAATCAATCAGAAAAGCATTTGGAAACGTATTCGGAATTGCATATGGAGAAGTCCAAAGTTATAGTATGACTAAGAGACAGTAATAGTGATACGTGAAAAAAAAAGAAAAAAGCCTCTAGTCTACAAAAGGACCTATACTACAGATTCTAAAGCAGTCAATACAGATAAGCAAGCTGCTACACTGCATTACATACAACGCACTAAGAAGCAAGATGGGATGTATAGAGAGAGGGGACTTCTTGCTCCCTGCCTTCCTTCAAATTCAGGACCAGCTCTGAATAAAAGCTGTTACACAGGTGAGGTTTGTATTGGCAGACCATCCCTTCCTACAGGGAATGATGGCAATGGACGGGTCCTTAGTCACCTTTGAGCAATTTTAGTAGAGGAGTGGGGGCTGAATCTCATTTGGAGCAGGTTAAACTGAAAAATAAAGTGGAGAGAGTAGACGCTCTTTCAAGAGGTTTGGCTAAAAATGGAGAGGGGAGTACGAGCTGAGGAAGAAGATCAATCACTAGATGGAGGGCTTTTTTAGGATGGGGAACAATACAAGAGAGGAGAGAGATCATGCAGTTCTGAGACTGCAGGAGGGAATGCCAAGGCACAGGTGAAGAAATGGGCCTTATTTTCAAAAGAAATACTTGTTTGTGGCTCTCAGCCTGCTGTCCATACAGCCAGGGGAGATGGTTACCAGCAGCCAAAACTGCCCAGATTTCCAGCTTCACAGCTCCAGTAGGAGGAGGATTTTCTCTACCAGCATTCTGAAATCAATCTGGGGTGTGGAGAAGTAGATTCTGATTGTTTCCAGCCTATGTCGTGTGTCATTAAGTTGCTCCTGGGGGACACTAGGCAGGTATTAGACAGTATGCAGTACAAAATCTCTGTAGAAGGGATGGTCTGCCAATACAAACCTCACCTGTGTAACAGCTTTTATTCAGAGCTGGTCCTGACTTTGAAGGAAGGCAGGGAGCAAGAAGTCCCCTCTCTATATACATCCCATCTTGCTTCTTAGTGCCTTGTATGTAATGCAGTGTAGCAGCTTGCTTATCTGTTTTGACTTCTTTAAAATCTGTAGTATAGGTCCTTTTGTAGACTAAAGGTTTTTTCTTTTTTTCTTATTACTATGACTGTCTCTTATCTTAGTCACACTATAACTTTGGACTTCTCCATATGCAATTCCTAGTACATTGCTAAATGCTTTTCTGATTGATTGCTTGATTGATTGAATCACTGCCAATTTTCTCATTTCTTAAGGAACATTTCACACAACTTCCATTCCACATTAAAACAGAATTAGAGAATTTAGAGGATAAAGGGCCAAGTCAAAAATTACTCCATGTGACTTTGAAATGGCACAACATTTGGAGGGCATTTGACAGCATCCAACAAAAGCTTCAAAGTAAGAAATCAGTTCTTTGCCTGAAGAGGTCCAGCAATAGTGGAATGACTAAGCAAGTTATAGAACAGCAACTCAATAGAATATTATGTAGTTATTAAAATGACATATGACAAACAACATAGAAAAAAACAATAGTCAATAACATTTTAAAAATCGAAAGTAAGAAATATAAATATGCTACAAAGGACATAAAATATGTATACCAAAGGATAAAGATTGAAATACAACACAGATAAATGAAAATAGTTCTTAGAGTGTTAGACTTACAAACAAATAATAAACATACTGATGTGAAAGAGCTCCGAGGATAAAATGATTCACATAAAGGATCTGATACATTACCAAGCACATGGTACATTTCAGTTGTTACCTTGGCTGGCATGTTATCATTTATTGAGCATCCACCAGCATTGTATCAAGGCACTTGACTAACATTATTTCATTTGATCTTCATGACAACAATTGAGATTAGTGTTAGTATCTGTTTTACAAATAAGGACACCAAAGGTCAGAAAGGCTAAGTGAATTGGATCACATAGAGAATACATGGTAGACCTGTGATTTGACACATTTTTTTAGAGTGGTTCTAGTGCACAGTAGGACTGAACACTAGTGCTACACACTGTGAACAGGGAGGAAGATTGAGATTCCCAGCCAGTAGGAAAGAATGGGACAAAGGACAGGAGGTATGGCAGTGGGATTCCTTATCCGTTTCTGAATATACAAATGTGGATATCCATTTCTGAATATACAGATATGTATATGTATAAAGGTGCATATAATGTAGCAAAGGTAAGCCACCACGTCCTACTACAGATGTTCCAAAAAGAACAGCAAAAAGTAAGATATTTCACAAATATGGTAACATTTCTCAGAATGGAAGGAGGACACTAGTCTCATATTGAAAAGGACACAGTGCATTAGGCAGAATGAGTAAAAGAGAAAAAACGAAAAAGAAAAAACGACCGTGTCTAGACACATCATTGTGAAGTTTCTGAACACCTGGATGAAGGAAAGGTCTTCAATGACTTGGAGGAAGAAACAGAGCCCAAGTCGGGGGGGTGGGAGGGTTGTGAAATAAAATGAGAGAGTAAGGTCTTCAGTGAGCCGGAGGCTCCTGACACACCAGTCAGGCAGTGTGTCGGTGGATGAACAGCTCACAATGAGTGAGGGGATGAGGGAAAGGAAGTCTGAAGGGGAAAAGTCCTAAAAGGACGGATGGAGCGGACAGGCAGCCCCCCTTACCCTTCCTCAGGCTTCCTCGAACGAAGGGCCTCACATCACTATTTGCCTCAAAAGTCCACTTAAGTAAGACAGATTCCAGGGATTGAGATCAGAACAGAGGAGCCAGCGGAAAAGCAATACCCCCATAAAAAGCAGTCAAGATGGTAACACTTTGTACTGACAACTGGTGATCCAGAGCAATGGCTCCATAAAACACT